CAGAAAATGCCCCCCAGATATGCACACACCCCTGAATGCGCGCAGAAAATGCCCCCCAAATATACACACACCCCTGAATACATACAGAAAAGACCCCCAAATATACACACACCCCTAAATACACACAGAAAACATCCCCAAATACATACAGAAAATGCCCCACAAATATACTTCTACGCTCTTAAATATACATACTCATGCTCTTAAATGCACACACACAATGCCCCCAAATGCGTGCACACGCTCTTAAGTGCACACACATTCACACAAATACCCATCAAATCCGTGCACGTTCTTAAAATACACACAGACATACTGGTGCAAATCCTGAAATAGCACCCCTTTCCCAACCCCAGCACACAGCTACCGAAACATGTACTCACGTAGGATACAGACACTCATAAGTAGTAGCCCCTTCCCACATTCTCACCACCCATACAGAAATGCAAATACTCTCACAGGACACGGATTTAGAGACACTGATAAATACACAAATGCTCCGAGTGCCACACCCCAACACACACAAGCAACAACACCGACACAGATGAATGCATATACAAAAATACGCACAGGCATTCAAATACAGATACACAAACACAGGTATGTAGACTTTCACAGTATATTCACAGACACAATCAAACAAATACACACACACACACACTCACTCACTCACTGGCACACTCTCACTCTTAAGTAGACAGAGATGAGACACAGTTACCCAGATAAACATATTCGCACTTGGGCATGGCTACAAAATCAAAGCTGGGACTCCTTCAGATACATTGACTTGGTACATGAACACGCACAGACATACTCAGAAACAAAGCTGCATGGATACATGCAAGTACATTGTTAGGATTGCTGTGCAAGTTTCATGTGAGGGTAAAGCATTTTGTTTACGTCTTTCTTGGGCTTGAAAGTGAGCAGCTGCGGTTTCAGTCAATTTTTCATGCAACCCTCAATCAACACAGGCTAGAGATGAAACATGTTTACATTTTCCACCGGGACTTCAGAATGTGCAATATGTTGCTCCTTTTAGAGCCTACATTTCAGTCTGTGTGTATTTTCTGGACTGGGATGGAGTTGGACGCATATGTGTACAATTCAGACAGTGAATAGACTGAGTTGTATGTTTCTTTACAAAAACTATTAGCATGTGTATTCATCCTCTGTGTACTCGGCACACCAGTGTGTGAGGAGCTTTGCACGTGTCTCGGAGGCCCAACCTGTTTGGGAATACAGCAGTGTTGGCAAAGATTAATATTGTATTGCTCTGAGAGATTAATAGTTGTGGATTCCCTTTTGCTCATTTGGCAAGCTGGCACTGTTTGTACATAAGGTGAATGTGCTGTAACCCACGGTTTAGTTGAGGTAACAGTTTGGTCAGGCTGTGTCCCGGTGTTTCTCTTGAGTGAAGTGTGGCTTGGAGTCATAATGTGCTGTTAACAACAGGTGAGGTGAGATGCGATGTCTTGCATTATATCAGAAGCATAAAGAATATTGCTGTGCATTCCCACTTACCCTGAGCAACAAGGAAGCACGGAGTCAGTGATGCACAGTAGCTTTGTTGTTGGGATGGGAATTGTGTTCATGCTTTCTGATTGTGGTTCATTCAAACTTGTAGAATATCCTGGACTTCCCGGTCTGAAACCTCAGGCCTCTTATTCCTCTCGGTTCTTCCCACCGCCTCACAGACACACGTTATAAAAACATTTTTTCTGTGTGTCGTGTACATGGTGTGTAGCATGGCAGTCACGCTCTGTATTGTCTGGTGCTGAGAAGACGTAACTTGTAAAGAAATACAGTGATTGATCCTGAATAAACAGTGGTAATGTTAATAGACCATTGGTCTATGGGATTGCTAATTAACCTTCCAGTGATTTTGGAGGCAGATGTATCAAACCATGATAGCTGCGGAGTTTAAATTTGATTATTAGAGAACAAATCCAGAAACGGTGAACATGAAAATGATTAAGCTGTTGTTTTAAAAACCAATCTGGTTCATTTAAGGAAGGGAATCTGCCATCCTTACCCAGTCTGGCCTAGATGTGTCTCCAGACCTACAGCGAGGTTGACTGTTAATGCTCCCAGGAATGGCCTAACAAATCACTCCACTGTATTCAAGAAGATGGCACGCTGCTCCTTTCTATAGGAATGAATGCCTGGCCTTGCCATCAACATCCACGTTTCACGAATGAGTAAGCATAAAGTAGCTGTGCATCTGAATCTCAGACAGAAATTAACTCTTTGTGCCGACTCAGAACTGATTTTCAGCTCCTTCCTTGCCACTTGTCTACTTACGCTGTCTCGATCAGGAAGCTGTTTCATCATCCTTTACTCTCTGGAGCTGAGGACCTTGTAAATTGATTCAATAGCAGCAAATCCCATGTCTGTTCAATGTGTTTTTCGAAGGAATGGTGGGTGGAAAGTGTCCAGATCCCTGCATTTTCTAACGTGAATCCCTGCAAGGGTCAAACTGTTGGAGAAGAAAATTGGGAAAGTGCCAATTGTGGTAATCACAGGTAGATTTTGGAAGTGGATATCAGGGGATATTGTTTCTGGTTCAGTGTCTACAAGAAGCAGAGTGGATTTTTTCTTGTCTGCATTGACTTTATTTACAAATATCCCTTTTTAATCAATGGATAACTAAGTAAAAAGTTACACCTGTTTCTTCCCCCCCACTTTTTTTTCTTTCTCTTTTCCTTGGACTCTCGTTCTCTCTTGCTCTTGTGCACGCACGTACAAATTGTATCTGTGGATGGAGTGTGTTTTTGGCCACATCGCTTGGCATAAGCACTCAGAAGCTAAGAAGTGGTACAGTGAAGGACCACTTGACACTGAGCTCTCACTGAATGCCATGCATACACTAGCTGCTCCATCCAGAACTTCCTCTAAAAACAACCTGAATGTGGTGATGATTGATGTTGGTGTCTGTTGGTCGTCAGCTTGCATGGCACTCGGTGCAGAGTCTGAGAGATGGCTGAGTAAACCTTCAGTTGAACCTCTTAAAAACATTGGCCTGCCCCTGTTCCCCTTTTTAAAATTAAACATTGTAACATTTTCTCTTGGTGCATAGATCTGAAACCATGCAAAGCCTGGAGAGCATTCCAGGGCAGTCTTTACTTAGGAAAGAGAGTTCAGTTGAGCTGACATGAGAGTCTAGTTTGCTTTTATCAAGCTTAGCGCCATATCATCATCACCTTTTACTCCTTGACTACAGATTAGCCATGTACAAGGGCATCTACCCATCCTGTCAGCTGAGAATGGTGGTTATTGGGAAACTAAGGCAAACAAGAGGTGTCCCATGTATGGGTTACTCTGCAAAGTGTGAGCGCTGATGAGCAGTAACCTGACTGGGTGTTGCTCTAATGTCCAGTTTTTGCGATGAGTCGAAGAGACAAAAGTATCTAAGGGAGTCCCCTCCCCAAAAATAGGATCAGGGCAAGGCTATGATGTCACCCTGCCTGGAACATCCTTGTAATGCTCACTATGAAGGCTTGTACATGTAAAATGGTCGCTTGGGTGAGATTACAAATGATTGCTTATGCTGTGTAACTGTACTCCAGAATAAATCAGCATATGGGAGCATGATGAGAATTTTATTTGCACTAACATTATACAAGAATATTGGTTTCCAGTGGCTGACTAATTAAATTAATTTCTTGAATATTACTGAAGAGAGAGAGAGATGTTATTGAAGCTTTTCATCTTGCACTCCTCAGGCCAAATGCGAGATCATCCAATTTCAGATGATTAGACAAACTCATTACAGGAGACAAGGCTGCTGATTGGTAGGCATTTCTGCTTGTTTAAAGCATCCCCATAGAGAAAGCAATGGGGAACTGTAGGTTCCCAAGTAGCTCACTTCTGCTTCTGTTGCTGAGTTTCTGTGGCGTTTTTTAACCTTTCAATTTTGGTGATTGAGTTCTATGCTTCCATGCCTGTCTACAATGAGGGAAACTATAGTCCTGTCCAGCTGTTCTCCAAAAAATATAAAATCCTAAATTGCTTCCATATGAGGCAAGTCCACTGACCAAGTCTGTTCTTGGTAAGTTTGTTTTCAGCAGCTTGGTTGTAATTTTTAAGTGGAGCAGCTGATATCATGTGGGCAGGAACTCAATGGTTTTAAGCAGTAATGCCAGGCAATTTTTAAAAAATATTGGTATAGCTGAGACTCCATCCCTTTCTTTAGTACAACAGGGTTAGGGACCACCTGATGTCATTCATGGGGGTTAGGTGAGATGCTGAAGTCAAGCAATGACTGGCGCAGTTTCTGCAGGTTGTTGCTGCAAGCTAGCTGGTATTTGTCATAACAGCGCGCTTTAAGAATCTCTCAAAACCTTGCTAATGTCTGGTATGTGAGCTGACAGAGGTGTGTCACCTGGAAGATGTGGAAGGCTGTTTTGTACATGAGCTAGTTTATTTGTCTTGGCTATGTTCTTAGTAATTGTTAAGCAGTGGGAAGGATTTCACAACGAAAGGAGAATATGGTGTTGGAAATGTTTTGACAATCTGCTCTATTGATCATTGAGCTATGGCGTGGAAAACATTTTGAATTAGCACGAATCCTTTGATCAGAGCGGTCAGAAACAGGGGCTCTGTCTGCAGCACCAATTTGAGAATTCAGTCACAAACTCTGATTGCCTTTAATGTCCGTTTGCAAGGGCAGTGGATGTGTGAATGGTACAGATTTACATTAGTGTTGGCATGCACGTGTTTAAGGAAGTCTGGAGGCTTCAGGCAGCAATTGGGATTTAAGATATGTCACCTCATAAGGGAAGGGAAGAGCCTGTGAACTGTGGAAGCATGCTGTAGGGGAGATGATGACACTGTTTTATATGGGGTTCTTGTGCTATCCACTCCAGA